TGAAATTAATGTTTCAAAATGTCCTTGCTAAGGTAATAGACCTCAAGGAAGTGGCTGTGCATTGCTAAAAAAATGAGGATTAATACGCAACCTCCGGGCACACCTGTTTCCCCCTCTCAACGGAATAACGTGTCCAGGAGAGACTGATTAAAGCTGCTTTTGCTCAGAGTGTGATTCAGATATTGTGATGCAGATACTGAAGGTGGCATTCCTAAGAATGACAAGTGAACGCCCTCTTCCTTAACCAAAGCCCCCCCCCCTCGCTGTGCTCCCTGATCACGGCCTCACACAGACAAAGGACACTGAAAACTGTCCTCATCTCCACTCTGTCTGTTGCAGAGGGCAGGATTAATACCAGACTGAGAGAAAAAGAAACAGCAGGATGGCTTCTCTCCCTTCTCCACCCCCAAATTCAGTTCAGGGGGCACCAACCCCCCCCCCCAAAATAGGGAGAAGAGAAGAAGAGATTGGATTTATACCCCGCCCTTCACTACCCGAAGGAGTCTCAGAGTGGCTAACAATCTCCTTTCCCTTCCCCTCCCCACAACAGACACCCTGTGAGGTAAGTGGGGCTGAGAGAGCTCTCTAGAGAATAGGCTTGCCAAGTCCCCCCGGGGGGCAGGGAAACCCCCGCCCCAGAGGCCCGTTCCCCGCTGCTGGCGGATCGGACCCCGGGGGGAACACCACCCCCAAAGCACCCGACGTGCACGTCACCCGGAAGTGACGCAACCATGCCGGGCACGCTGGGGGCGGGGCCACGGTCATCCGAGGGAAAACTCTATGCTTTTCCCTCGATGGTCATGGCCCCGCCCCCAGCGTGCCTGGCGTGGTTGCGTCACTTCCGGGTGACGTGGTCGCGGCACGCGTGTGCCCCAGGAAGAAGCCAGGAGTCCCCCGCTCCAACAGCAGGTAAGACTTGGCAACCCTACTTGAGAACTGCTCTTAAGAGAACAGCTCTGAAAGAACTTCTGACTGACCCAAGGTCACACCAGCAGCTGCATGTGGAGGAGTGGGGAATCAAACCTGGTTCTCCCAGATTAGGGTCTGTGATCTCCTGGCTCTCCTACACCAAACTGGGTCTCGAGCTGCCCTGAACAACATAGCCAATAGAGGCCACTGATTCATAAAGGGCAGGTTTTTCTTCCTTTGACCTTCTTCTATGTTTGACCATAGGAGCGTGATCTTTTAGCTAAGTTAATACACAGACACTGAGGGGAAAATTCAGATGCATGCCTAGGGTTGACAATCTCCAGGTGGGGGCTGGAAATCTCCCAAAATTACAAATGATCTGCAGGCTAGAACCCACCAGTTACCCTGGAGGAAATGGCTGCTTCAGAGGGCGGACTCTGTGGCATTATACCCTGCTGAGGTCCCTCCCCTTCCCAAAACCCGCCCTCCTCAGGCTCCACCCCCAGATCAACAGGCATTTCCCAACCCTATCAGGCCCAAGGGGAGGTTAGGACTTAAGAGCAGCCCTTGTGAATTGGGTACAAACAAATCAACAGTCCGAAATTACATGTCTCCCCTTCAAAACTGAAAGATGACCCTAGATATCTGAAGGCATAAACATATACTGAGGGTTCTGTATTTCCAGCTTGGCTTAAAGCCTTTCAACAAAGCCAGAGGTATTTGTCGGTCATTCTTGCTGTCTCTTAATTGCATCTTCCACAGTCACTTTATGGCTGTTCCCAGCATTGCAAGTCAGCAGGGACAAACTGCTCTCAGTTTCAGCCAGTTTTGCTAAGTTAGTCTACAGTGCTCAGGAGTGAGCCAGGCCCCAAATCAATCTAGATGGATTTTTTTTTAATTGTGACATTCAAAGTTTTGCCTGGATGTCGTAGATGTTTATTAAACACACAATTTCATAGTTAAACATTCACCCGGTGGTATTTCCTCTTACACAACCATCATAGTTGTTGGGCAGCCAACACCAGGTTGGGAATTTCCTGGAGATCGGGGGCTGGGGGAGCAGTGTTCCCTCTAAGCTGAATTAGTGTGAGCTAGCTCACAGCTTTTTAGCCTCCAGCTCATTCGTTTTTGTCTCAGCTCAGGAAGGATGACTCCAGGGCAAACTAATTTATGCAGTAGCCAAATCGCTTGCACACAACTGTAATGCCAGTAGCTCACAAAGTAGAATTTTTGTTCACATGACTCCACTGCTTAAAGGGAGCATTGCCGGAGAGGCAGGATTTGGGGACGGAAAGGGATCTCAATGAGGTACAATGCCAAAGAGCAGGGGTGTCAAACTCATTTGTTTCGAGGACCAGATCTGACATAAATGAGACCTTGTTGGGCCAGGCCACGTGTGTCATAAAATGTAATGCCAGGTAACGGAGATATAAACTTTATAAAGGACACAAACACAAATGGGTCTTTTTTACTTAAAATAAAAGCATGCTTAAACATTAGCACTCTTACAATATTTTGTTTATTTAACAGTGTCTGATAACTGACACCTATTGCTCTGAATTATTGCATCAAAATGTCTGTGCTGTTGCAATCTTCAGTATGCTGTTCAGGTGTGTATCCAGCAGAACTGAAAGAAGCAGCAGAAGACAGTCAATTCCACTGTGGGCCTGATAGAAGCCCTCCGGGGGCCTGATCTGGCCCCTGGCCACATGTTTGACACCCCTGCCATAGAGTCTATCCTCCAAAGCAGCCATTTTCTCCAGGGGATCTGATCTCTGATTCTGATATCAGTACAAAAATCTTTCCTACACTCCTCCTGAATGGGGAAAATAACCGTATAAGAATATAAACCTAGCTTCTTTTCTGCAGGCCAGACAGACACTGGAGCATAATCAGGCAAAAAATTAAAAAGTTGGCAATCTCATCCCCCCAAAAGCCAATGAAGGCTCTTCTTTACTCCCATGCTTAACTTTGCAGCTACTCAAATTATCTCCAGTCACCCTTTCTGGGGGGAGGGGGGACCAACGTTATTTTTGTAAATGATGTCAATGGCTTCCTCAAGAGGTGGTGGGCTCTGAAGGTTTTTAGGCAGAGAGCTAGATGTCCCTCTGACAGCAATGCGGATTCTGCGAACTTCGGCAGCTCATGAGAGGGAGGGCAGGAAGGGATGAGCCATTGCTTAGTTCTCGTGGCCCTTTCTTACATGCCCAGTGAAATGCTGATCACCACTTTGGATTCAGGAAGCAACTGTTCTCCAGGCCAGTTTGGCTGGGATTCCTGGAGGTTTTTTTTTTTTTTTGCCCTCTTCTGGGCATAGAGCAGGGGTCAATGGCAGCGTTCCCTCTAAGCTGAGTTGGTGTGAGCTAGCTCACAGTTTTTTAGCCTCCAGCTCACAGATTTTTGCCTTAGCTCAGGAAGGATGGCCTCAAAGCAAACTAATTTATGCAGCAACCTAATGGCTCGCTCACAACTTTAATGCCCATAGCTCACAAAGTAGGATTTTTGCTCACAAGACTCCACAGCTTAGAGGGAACATTGGTCACTGGGGGTGTGGGAGGGGATTTCCTGCATTGTGCAGTGGGTTGGACTAGATGACCCTGGAGATTCCTTCCAGTTCTATGTAGTCAGACATGCAATTGAGCTGCACCCCAATTAGGGTTGCCAATCCGCAGTTGGGGGGCAGGGGATCCCCTGGTTTGGAGGCCCTCCCCCTGTTTCAGGATTATCAGAAAGTGGGAGGGGTGGAAATGTCCACTGGGCACTCCATTATACCCTATGGAGACCAGTCCCCATACGGTATAATGGAGAA